TAGGGTATATTCTGTGAAGCGCTTGAGACGTCTCCGCGACATGATAAGGTGCTGTATCAAATGCCAGGGTTATAATAATATATGCAGCGAGAATCTGAGGAGCTGGAGAATAGATGGAGTTCGTGTGGAACTGTGTCAAAGAGAAGGGATTAAAGTTTGTGGTGGTTCTAAATATCTGGCTTTATTATCCGAGAGTTTGGAAAGAACGAGTTGAATAATTACTTCCAGGTATTGATTAGGAAAATTGTGTGCAAGAGAAAGAAACTGAGTTCATAGATAACTGGGAAACTCTATTCAATTGGGAGAAATGTTTACAGGAATGAAAGGGGGGTGGGGGGGGGGGAGCTAAACCGGTGGCTCAAGGCATAAATGCAATAATTTTAATTTCATTTCAACTAGAGTCGGAAGGTGGGGGAGGGTTGGGCTTGGGGGAATGTTGTGTGGATAGAGAAGACTCCAGTGTGTCAACTATCAGGAAAAGGTGAGATAGAATGAAAGCAAAATAGACCAAAATAATCCGACAGCTCTGGGGTAATTACTAGCCGGAATAGGTTACCAGGAAGGGTGGCTGATGTCAGGACACATTAAACAAAACAGCTTGACTCAGTGCCTACATGTTAGGGTGGGGTATTCCAGAAGAGGACGTCAAAATGAGAGGCTTTCTTCTTGTTCGAATAAGGCTCTCTTGTGAATAATAACAATAATGATAATCCTTGCGTTTGATACAGTTCCCACTATCACATCGTCAAAACATCTCAAAGCTCTTCACGGGATTTACTGTAAAGTGTAGTGACTATGTATTTGGTAAGCGAACTTTCCAGTAACAACTCGGTTATATTTTCAAATATAGAGATCTATTCCAGGGGGCTAAACCTCAGATGGAAAGTGGTTCATTTATTTCTTGTTATCCCCCACTCCCCAACCCCACCCCCCACCAATGTGTGACTTGAGATACGATCACACACTCGAGAAACAAAGCCACAAGATCACGTTGACGCCGGGTACATTTTGTAAGCAGATCTGCAAACGGATGTGGCCAGAGAGATTGGTTTCACATTAAATGATGGATTTTGATCATAAGAGAATAAGAATAATTTTGAACCAAGAAAAGACCCGTATAATAACTAATAATATAATACTTGCATTTGATGTAGCGCCTTATCATGTCATTGTGACGTCTCAAAGCGCTTCACAGGATATACTGTAAAGTGAATTGACCGTATATTTTGTGGGCGAAACTCGGCAGCCAATTGCGCCCAGCAGCGTCCCCACAAACAGCCGTGGATTGAGTGACCAAATTATTATAATTGTTTTGTTATTATTTTGCGCATACTGGTATGAAGCAATCATGCAGCAAAGAGTGGACAGATGGCCAGACTCCTGCTGTAGTTGACTAAGGGCTTCACTGTAAAGAGGTGACGATTGGGTGTATTTTATGTGTGAAACACGGCAGCCAAAATGCGCAGAGCAACGTCTCACATACAGCCACGGAGTCGGTGAAATTACAATGAGATCAAATGAGCCAAAGAGCCTTTTCATCTGAACTGACCTAAATGGCGACAATCCCACAGTTTGCCATTAGAAAAGGGTGGATTACAACCAACGTACAACAGCAACAACTTGCATTTATATAGCGTCCCCTCACACAGACCAGCATTCCAGAGCGCTCAATACTGGGTAATACTACTAGAGAATTGAAAACCAATTGCAGTTAGCAAATGACTATTAATAATAAATAAATAATAATAATAATAATTCTTGTATTTGATATAAAGCACGTTTCAAATGTGGGAGGACGTCTCAAAGCGCCGCAAAGGATTTTGCTGTGAAGTGTAGTGACTGTATCGATGGGCAAATTTTTAAAAATGTACTGCTTAACAATATTGCTCATCACTAGCTCACGAAAGCAAAACCACAGCAGTAAATGAGAAGGGTACCCCATTGGGGGGACTTTCAATATTGATTTTTCTTTCCTGAAAAAAGAACCTTCACAAGAACCCAGCGGGCAGAATCCACTTAAAATCCCCCACACAAATCATTTAAAATGTACAAAAAAAAATTCCTGTTGAACGGAGGTTATAAAAGGATTATTTCAACAGTGAAACAGTCACTCTGCAGAAAATTGTGTGTTGGTGTGGATACAAGCAACAAGTCAGGAAGAAAGGTAGGTGGGTGGATAAGCTCTGGTCTCTACACTATATCCTGAATATTTTTATATTCGGAGTATAATATTACCCCATGTACATGTCTTTGTTAATACTGGATTTCATATGGAATATTTTTTTTAATTTTAGGAGAGTGTAACTGATATTTTGTTTGCTGGACTATTGGAAAAGGGTCTGTATGTTCGAATATAATATAAAATGTCACCTACCACAAAACACACAGTCACTTCACTTTACAGTATATTCTGTGAAGCGCTTTGAGACGTCTCAAAACATGATAAGGGGCCGTATCAAATGCCAGGATTATTATTATTATGATTATTATGATGATGCTTATGAAGTGCCTTGGTAGGACACCTCCTACCCTCGAAAGGAGCTTCTAAACGAGTAAATCTGTATTGTATTGAATCTTATTCACACAGCAGTAGCACACGGTCACCAGACACTGCATTAGCGTGGATGGATTCCTTCAGTTTGATGGATGTAACTCATGTTATTACACAGTTGTGGGTTTGTGTTGAGCCAGGGAGATTTCAGCTTAATCTTGCTGGTCTCTAGAGTACTGTCTGTCGGCTGTTAAAAGGGGAGGCGAACACGATGTAATAATAATAATAATCCTTGCATTTGATATCGCGCCTTATCACGTCTTTGAAGCGCCTCAAAGTGCTGCACAGGATACACTGTCAAGTGAATTGACTGTATATTTTGTGGACGAGATATCTGGCTTGAAACAAACCCAAACCTTATTTTTTGTTGGGTTTCCTCGACTGAGTGACTTGTCCACACACCTTGCACTCACTCTCGCACTCTCGCACTCGCTCATTCCTTCCTTGCCCTTTCTGTTTCCAATTTAATGCTATTTGGGGGCCCACTTGAAACAGAATTAACAACACACATCTGTCTTCTATATTCTCAGCAACCAATAAGTAAACCCCTTTACACTGTGCTCCCATTTACAGGGGTTTAAAAGGGAACAGTTAACAGTTAGAAGTGTTGTCAAATTTTTGCAAACAAAAAAAAAATCGATTCTCTTGACAAATCCAGCCGCTGTTTTTTTTAATATATAAAAACTATTTCTGGGGTTGGTTTAAATAAATAGTAACACTTTTTTTAAAAAAATATGCATGATTCGGTTCATCGTTCCAAACTTCAGCTATTATGTAAGTCGAGAACAAAAAAAGGGGAAGTCAGTTAAAATTTATAACACCTGTTTTGCAAAATCTTACGTTGTTTATCGTTGGTATTTGCACATCAAACCAACGACTTGAATTAAAATAAAATAAAATAGCTATTGAGGACATACAGCAAATAGGTGTGTATGAGGGTGGGGGGGGAGTTTGTGTGTAAGTGTGGGAGGATGGAGTGTGTGTGTGTGTGGGAGGGGGGAGTGGGAGGGATGGGGGGGAGTGTGTGGGGTGGAGGGTGGGGAGAGTTTGTGTGTGGGGGGGGTAAGTGTGTATGTGTGTGGGAGGGGAGAGTGTGTGTGGGGGGGGGGAGAGTGTGTGTGTGGGTGGGGGGGAGAGTGTGTATGGGAGGGGAGAGTGTGTGGGTGGGTGGGTGGGGGGAGAGTGTGTGTGGGTGAGAGGGGTAGAGTGTGTGTGGGAGGGGGAGAGTGTGTGTGGGAGGGGAGAGTGTGTGTGGGTGAGAGGGGGTAGAGTGTGTGTGGGAGGGGGAGAGTGTGTGTGGGAGGGGAGAGTGTGTGTGGGTGAGAGGGGGTAGAGTGTGTGTGGGAGGGGGAGAGGGTGGGTGGGGGGGGAGAGTGTGTGTGGGTGAGAGGGGGTAGAGTGTGTGTGGGAGGGGGGAGAGTGTGTGTGGGAGGGGGGAGAGTGTGTGTGGGTGAGAGGGGGTAGAGTGTGTGTGGGAGGGGGGAGAGTGTGTGTGGGAGGGGAGAGTGTGTGGGTGGGTGGGGGGACACCTGACAATTTGGACCAAAGTTCCATTCCTTGAAGGGATTTTTTAATCCACAGAAACACTTTCTGCCTCAACTTCAACTGTATTTTACCTTTAACTCTGTTTTTTTTAAATTTGTAAACACCAAGGGGGTGATTTGCAGATAGATTAATTCCTGGGGGATATTGATCAGCGATCCATAAAATGCTCATATATATATATAATATAATATAAAATCATAGTATAATTGCTCCTGTATTATATATAAATTGCATTGGATTCATTTGCATACTTCATCCGTCCAGCTGAGCTGTCCCCCAGGGATTTTTCTGTGGAAAATTAACAAGACTTTCAACTGTTCCCCTTTTAATGAAGAAAAAGGGATTGTTTTATTTTCCAAATATCTACAGGTGATATTTCACCTCTGTGAAGCTTGGATCGATTCAAAAAAAAGTTCCAGGACTAAAGTGGGGGTGAATTGGGGCTGGTTTAGTGGTTAGGTGTTTTCCAGGCACCACATATAATGTATATATATGTATATATCTGTGGGTACTCTAAACCCCATTTTTTTCCATTGCAAAAGGCACTTCAGTCAGTGTTTGGGGAGGAAAAGAGACACTGTGCAATGTACATTAACATTGGAATTTTACTTGTATCCCAGGACTGGACACGATTTCCTCCCAACACAGCCCAAGGGAACACAGGCAGACAGACAGACTTGTAATACACAGCTCACTCCACTGAGCTGTGATACACAAGACGTTAACCCCAACAGCACTGTCCTCTTGATATTTCTACGCTGTGGAAAGTCCCCATTACATCATCTGTCACCAGGTCCACCATTGACAGCTTCATGGCTTCATTAAGAGCTCAGTAACTCCCCCCTTGGGTGAGTATTCAGTCTCTAGTTTCTTGGTGAATGTGGGTTTCTCCCCCTCTCCCCCTCTCCCCACAGGTAAGGTTTATATCTTTAATGTGTGAAGGTTAACTTCAACTCAATCTGCTTTAGGGCTTGAAACAACATCATGCAATGGGTTCGGGTTTTGGATACATTTAGCCCAAAGCAGTTTGGTGGGACTATGTGGGACTATTTGCCAACTTGTGCTTCAGTTTAAACCATTTTTCCTTTGCACTTTTCCAGGGTATGTTCTTGGGGCTTGAACCCAGGTTTCCTGCGGAGATGGAGACAAAATCGAGCCTTCCTCAGTCTCTCTCTGAAAGTAACTTGATTAAAGCTGTGAAGCTCAGGCACCTGATCAGTGATAATATTATCAAACCATCCACTGCCAGACCCCTGATCCACCACCTGCTGAACATGAACATGCACACTCTACAGTTACACAGTATGAGGGAATACCAGCCTCAGTTCAGGAGAACCTTGGAACAATCATTAATGGACCAGGTCACTTCCAAAGCCTTGGCAGACGCAGGAACACTCAACTGGTGCAAAGAACTTAGGAAACAATTTCCACTCAAGGTTTCTGGTGAGTAGATATTGGGGAACTGACTTATATCCAACTTTATTTACAAGATAATCATTCATTCGTCTCCTGTTTAAAGCTGCTGCTTTTGGTTTCAGCGTGTATCTGTATTTATATAGAAACATATCACATCCTTTACAATTTAATAATGTTATATGTAAATAATTTGGTCACTCAACCCACGGTTGTTCATGGGGACGCTGCTGTGCGCAATCGGCTGCCGCATTTCGCCCACAAAAATATACCGTCAATTCCCTTTACAGTGTATCCTGTGAAGCGCTTTCAGACGTCTCAAAGACGTGATAAGGCGCTGTGCCAAATGCCAGGATTATTATTGTTATTATTATAACTCAGGACTTTGAACTCACAGTCTAGGCTGACACTGCCATGCAGTAGGGAGCGCCTCCAGGAGGAGTGTTGTTGGAGGTGCCATCCCATCACCGTACTGGAGCGATAGCCTAGACTGTGATCTTAGAGACTCGACATGGAGCTTGAACCCACAACTTTCTGACCCAGAAGAGAGAGTGAACACTGAGCCAAGCTGATACCATTCAGTCAAATTGCTCAAGAAACCCAAAGAACGGCTGTGGTTGGAACTTGAGAGTGTTGCAATTTGGGTTCTTGTGAAACAGATTAATGATAATTTCCTTATTTAGACCAGAATTAGAAGAGGAACCAGACCCCAGATGTGAAATCATGCCTTTGGTTAGATTACTCACTCACACACTCACTCTCACTCACTCGCTCTCACTCTCACTGATTCTCTTCGTGTCCCGATAAAAAGCACACTTTATCCCCCCACTTAGTTCAGCTCAGTTGCGACGGCCAACGACATCTTGCTCATGAAAGTGCTTCACGCTTGTCATGTGAGGGGCCACATGTTACAGTGACAATCACTCCCCCAGGAAGGTATAGTGAACCCCGTCTGTGATCATCTCATGGCATCTATGTGTATTCACGTGCCCAACGTGATGTTGATTCACCTACAGGAGGATTTGCATCAGTTCTTTGTGCCAATCTGTGGCTGCATCCAGCTGCGGGGCTTGGAGGGAATGTTAAGCCCAGACACAATTAGCAGCAATGACACTTGTCACTGCACATTTCACTCTAATTATATTAATCACTGTTTACTGTTCAGACCTTAAATGCAGTGCCGAGGAACCCAGGGACACTCCTCAACGTTTAAACCCAGGGATTAATGATGATTCATCAAACAGAAAGAAGGGACCTTTTAGTTAACAATCACAAAAATCACAGTCAATCCATATTTGCAGTATCGCCTGTGAAGCGCTTTGAGACTTGGAGAAGTGGTGATGAGGCGCTCTATCAAATGCAAAGAATTAGTATTGTTATCATTAACTCATTAACTACTACGTCTTGTCTGAATGAATGAATGAATGAATGAATGAACGAACAAACGAACAATGCTCAGTTTAAGCACCTGCTTTGTCTCAAACAGGGGATGGGAACAGCCTGCTCCATTCCCTCTCGCTGTGCATGTGGGGTGTAAAAGACACAGATCTCACCCTCAGTAAGACATTCCATGAAGCACTGACCAAAACCAACAGCGTGAACTTCAGACTAAGGTGGCAGACAGAGCACGGGGCAGGTCAGCACTATCCCACGACGGGGCTATGTGACCAATCTGCGGTAAGATTCTTTTTTTCAAAAAAAAGGTAATTGTTTTCGGACTTCCCAAGAGTGCGCATTTCCTACCACACACAGGGACATTTCCACACCTCAGTGACATGTCTGCGTGGAAGGAAATCTCGGGCTGCTTTGGATACTCGTAAGCACGGTGGTGGGTTTCCACATGTGTCAGACACCTGGCTGACCAAACAGAAATCCCCATTCCCAGCTGGGAGAGAAATGCACTTCCTAATCTGAGAACTGACTGACTGAGTGTCAGCACCAGAGCGTGTCACAGGGACAATCCCTCCAGTTCCCACTCTCTCCCCACAAGAAGCACAATAGTCTCCTGTCAGGGCAACCCCACGATGACTCAACTGTAGTCGGGATATTTTTGATCAATTTTACTGTGACCGACTGGCCACGTTTTGAAGAACTTAAGAATTTTCTGGATGAAAGTCCAACATCCATCCAATTTGCCTTCCACCATCCTGGCAATTCCTTGACATGTCCCAAACTATAGCCCCCCCCACCCCCGTTCAATAGATCCCTCCACCAAAAGGAAAAGTCGTCCACTGTTTAACCTGTCAATTCCTTTTGTCATCATCATCATCATCATCAATCAAATCACCCCTTAACCTCCTCTGCTCTCAGGAATATAACCCTAATGTGCCGGCAACATATCTCCTGGTAACATTGGGGTGGAGGGGAGGGGCGGGAGGAGGTTGAAGTACAATTCCTGTTAAAGAAGAACACTTTATGTGGAAAAGTCTTAAGAGAAAAGGCTTACATTCATTCTTTGGTTTGTTTGATGGCCGTCTAGACAGAGTTATTGCTGTCTAGTGTGGAAAACCAGCTAACTTCCTTTATGGGGCATTAAGCGCAATGTCAAAGACACCCAGTTTTGTTCTGCTGTTGAATTCCTTTGTATGTGTCTCTCTCCCATTCCATCCCATTCCAACAATCTATCTCTGGATTTCCATGTGTAGGTGGGAGGCGTGGAATTCTCAGTTGGGGTTTGGAGACTCTTAAGCAATGGTGGTGGGGTTCCCCATGTGTCAGACACTCGGCTGATCCCGTAAACAAACAGACAAACAAACAAATAAATAATAAAGTATAACCTTCGTCTCCTCTAACAGATCTGGGATGCAGAATGGCAGAATATGATCGATTCCTCTGCACCGGTATCTCAGGCCTGTACCAGCCTGTACCAGGACATGCACCTGTTTATTCTGGCCAACATCGCCAGACGTCCCATCATCGTCATCGCAGGTGGGTTCAAATCGAGAAAAAAATAAGGACAAGCTAATGAAAAGGAGACGCTCAGAAAAGATGCACATGGTCCTGATGTAATTAGGTCACGGCAGAACCAAGATGATCAGTAGACAATGTTTGGACAGGTCTTTTGGGAACAGTCAATTGAATGGTTTAGTTCACACAACACCTATTACCAACATTTATTGACCTGCACATCATCCCCCTTCAGATAACCAAACAAATAGGACTGACTTGTCGATGATCTGAGCTGGGCTCTCGGTGGCAGTAATCGTGCCTCAGAGACAAAAGATTGTGAGTTCAAGCCCCATGTCAGACATTGAACTCGCTTTGTCTAAGCTGATGCTCCAATGCAGCGCTGGAGTGGGGGGTGGTGTTGCGTCTTCGGAGGTGCCATCCTTCGGTTGAGACGTTTAAACCGAGATCCCATCTCCCTGTTTAGGTGAATGTTAAAGATCCCACGGCGCTATTTGAAAGAGAAGGGAATTTCTCTCTCTCTCCTGATGTCTTGACCGACAATCCCCAGATAAAGTTGGTCATTTGTTTCATGGCTGTTTGTGGGACATTGCAGTGCGCAATTGTGCTGCTGCGTTTGTCTATAAAATACTCAGTCACTCCATTTGACGGTAGATCCCGTGAAGCGCTTTGAAACGCGGAGTGATAAGGCACTGCCCAGGGAGCAGAGAGATACACACGTCAGAGAGGGGAGACAATTAGAAACATACTAACGCAAATATTATCAAAACAATTATTTGTTTTAATGAAACAAACCTTTGTTTGCGATGACTTGATTTTTTTCTTCTTCTCCCAAAGCAGAAAGTTCAAAGGGAAATTCCAAAAAGGTTTCAGATAAAACATCGAGCCCTGCTGGCATTTACCTGCCTCTCCACTGGCCCGCTGAGCAGTGCTTCACCTACCCCATACTGCTCAGTTACACACAGCAACGGTTTACACCTCTCGTCAGTATCAATGACCCAGGCCCACGTAAGACACCGCAGTTTGTTTCCTTTTCAACTTTCAGCTCCAGAATGGATACGCATTCAAATTCTAACTCTCTAAGGCTCACGATTTACGGTCACTACACGCTACTGTGTATAGGAACCCCGATGTCGAGTCGATTGGCGGATCACTTTCTGTGGATAATAATCCCTCCCTAAAAAGTAATAATAATAATTTGGTCGCTCAATCCACGGCTGTTTGTGGGGACGCAATTGGCTGCCGTGTTTCGCCCACGAAATACACAGTCAATTCACTTTACGGTGTATCCTGTGAAGCGCTTTGAGACATCTCGAAGACGTGATGAGGCGTTGTGTCAAATGCAGGGATTATTATTATTATTATTATTATTATAAACACAGTGTTTAACCCACAAACGTTTTCATTTCAGAAATCAACGCTTTCCCACTGGTGACCCCCAGCAGGAGTGGGAGCGAGGAGTTACCTGTTCGCTTCCTCCTGGACAAAGAAAGGCTAAACAAAAAGCAGCTTCTCAGCAATTACCTGGTGGTGATCACCATCCCAGACAGTAACAGCATCGAAATGTTCCTGGCGGCCAGGTGAGCCCATGTGGATAGGAAGTCACTGCAAACCCACAGCACCAGCCACAATGTGAAGCTGACTGAATATTCTTCTATAAGCGATCTATTACGTGAGGATGGCTGAAATATAGTATTCACTAGCCCCCCCCCCCGCCCCCATGCAATGAAAAACTACATCTGTCAAGTCCCTCGCCTGCCGGCCACAAAATCCACAGTCACTACACTTTACAGTATATTCTGTGAAGCGCTTTGAGACGTCTCAAACACGCAATAAGGCGCTATATCATGTGCAAGGATTATTATTATTGTATTATTATTAGGTCAATTGAACCTTTTAAGAGGAACAGCAACAACTTGCTTTTTTTAAATACATATTTGGATCAGGTACAGATCAGCCATGATATAATAAAATGGCGAACAGGCTCGAGGGGCTGAATGGCCTCCTCCTGTCCCTTTGTTCCTCTAGATGCTATGTAATAAATGTGAGGATTTTCAGGATTTTGTTTTAAACTTGTATAGATGTGATACTTTGTGCAGTTGGAAGTTAAAGCTTATTTATTTGTGGCCCAGGTTGCAGATTAATCCTTTGCCCGATGACCTGAACTTGGTTCAGGATTACTTCCAGCTGGTTAACCACGAGTATGGGCTGTGGCAGAAAGACACAGACAAAGGAGAGACACACAAACTCAAACGGGCCAAAGAGCAGAAGTTCTGCCTCTCAAACCTCTCCATTGTAGAAGAGCGGTGTCTGACCCCCAATTGCTCCTACTTCTGCTCGAAGTTCACCAAGCCTTTCTGTCACACATGTCATGAAGCCTTCCAGAAGGAAGCCACGTCTTCGAGAGCCAAAACCCTCCCCAGCAAACAAGGCGGCCACACACAAGTGATGGAATCACAGTCCAAAGCTGGAACGACCTTTGAGCAGTTGAGTGACAGGAGCACAGGGTCCAGTTCAGCTCTGCCATCAGCGTCTTCTCCCGTTCATTTCTTCAGCGAGACGAATGCCCTGAAGTGCCGAATCCTAAACTGTCCGTTCACGGGAAGCCTGGCTCAGAACGGACTGTGTCCGAGCTGCTTCCGGAGAAGCGAGCCTTTGGAACAGATTCCAGAGACGGGCAGGAATACCTCTCCGTGCTTCCCAAACTCCTCAAATGAAAGATGCAGCACTTGTAATCAGGAAACAAGCATGTTCAATGGTTTGTGTTTCGTTTGCTTAAGGAGATCGGGTTCCTATCCACAGTCACAAGTCTTACAGGGGAGAACTTCAGAATCCACCCCGGATTCACTGAGCACCACTGGCCACCCTGCCCCCCAGGGAGGCCGGGACCAAGGACAGGCCTACAGTCAGACAGGGAAATCTGCAAAGTGCATCAAGCCAAATTGTCAATACTTTGGGACTGAAGAACAGTTTGACTATTGTACAGTCTGCTTCCTTAACTATCTCACAGTGCTTGGTAAGTAGTAGTAATAATAATAATTTGTACATTTGATATAGCGCCTCAAGATATTTAGAAGTGCCTCCCAGGATTTCCTGTGAAGTGTAGTGACTGTGTATTTTCGTGTTAACCCTACAAGCTCGATGGTTAGGGTGGTCTTAGCTGGACCAGTAGCAGGAAGCTTGGCAGACAGTGCCCTCAACGGCAATGTTATGCAGTTTTAGCCGTTTCATTCAAAACAAATGCTCCAGTTAAATCTGCAATAGGAAACACCCCCAACCCCCACCCACCCCTCCTCCCCCCTACCCCTCCCCAAGTATCATTCTGTGCTGTAGAGAACCTTCACATAACTTCATTGAATGCAGCACAAACTACAGGTAAAGCTTTGAATTATTTGCAAAAAGATCATTGAGGTTATCGTTGTGAGACATAACTGCACAAAGCAAATAGTGGCACGTAATGTACATCCGGGCTCAACATCACCCATCGCATAACCTTCAGCCCCCAGCACAGCCCCCAGCACATCCCCCAGCCCAGCCCCCAGCACATCCCCCAGCACATCCCGCAGCCCCCAGCACAGCCCCCAGCCCCAGCACATCCCGCAGCCCCCAGCACAGCCCCCAACACAGCCCCCAGCCCATCCCCCAGCACAGCCCCCAGCACACATCCTCCAGCCCCCAGCACAGCCCCCAGCACAGACCCCAGCCCCCAGCACAGCCCCCGGCCCAGCCCCCGGCACAGCCCACATCCCCCAGTCCCCAGCCCAGCCCTCAGCCCCAGCACAAACAGTACAGTACACTAAGTAACAGGGAATTTCCTTTGTGAGCCACAGCTGTGGTTGACTTCCTTCAGTACAGGAAGCACTTGCAAAAGATATCTTTTTTTCTGTTACAGAACTGAATGCACATTGAAAATGTAGATAATAATAATAATAATCCTTGCATTTGATATAGCGCTTTTCACGTCAGGAGGACGTCCCAAAGCGCTTCACAGAATATACTGTAAAGTGAATTGACTGTATATTTGTGGGCGAACGCGGCAGCCGATTGCGCACAGCAATGTCCCACAAACAGTCGTAGATTGAAAATGACCAATTTATTATTGTTTTTGGCTTTGGAGGGATTATTATTAGGCTCTGTGTGGAGTAAGGAAACTTGCCCAAGGCCTCGCCCTCTGCCTGGAATTGAACTCAGGTCTCTCACTTGCAAAGCGAGTACTCTAACCACTGAGCTACAGGACTCCACATAGAATTTACATTTACATAGAATCCACAGCAGAAACAGACCATTCTATTCTCTTGTTCCTCATGTGTCTATCAAACTTCCTCTTAAATGGTTTGTCACTATTTGTTTGAACTACCGTGTCCCATTCCCCCAGCACGGTGTACAGTAGGATGACTTATAACTGTATCTCACACTTATCCCTCTTACTGCTCAGAGTATGATAGGAGCCTCTGGGTAAGGTTTAACAATGATAGTTCAATGTCTCCCACTCACAACACAGTTGACTGAAGGGAAAGCGGAGTTCTGTGAACATGACCTCAGGAGTCAGTGTTCGATCACCTCCGTCACTTACCCCCTCCTACCCACCTCCTTGTTGTTCAGGTCTCGTGAAGTGCTCCGAGATGTAATCACACGGGAAGGGAATTGTATAAACAGACGCAAGTCGTTTTGTATCCACTTAAACCGGGGCCAATTCAAGAAAAGTTGACCGAGCCCCAACAACAACAACATGTGACATTTACACAGCGCCTGCCTTTCATGTCAGGAGGAAGTCTCAAGGCGCTGGACAGTCAGGGATGTGTTCCCCGAGCTGGGGCTTGAGATCAGGAGAGAAAAAGAATCCTAGTTACAGTTGGTTCGGTGGGGTTATCGGGGCAAACCATTCGGATTTACTCCCTATGCATTCGACCTTTACATTCGACTTTCTGAATTCTTTATGAATCAGCGTGCAAGCAAACATACACCACAGGCCTTCGATCATTATCCTCACAAGAAAGACAAACAGCAGCAGGTCAAACTCCCTTTTGTTTCCTGAACGTTTGCCGTTTAAGGAAGATTTAACTTTTCCCCGTTCCTCCCCGGCAGAAACCTCCGGTCAGCGGGATCCAGAGCGACAGGACCACAAGAGCAACTCCCGCCCTGCTCACGCCCAGTGTGTGCAGATCTCCTCCCACCTCAGGAACATGTCCGTGTGCTGCAGCGCAGGCTGCAGTATGCTCGCCAACCCGGTGTACAACGGCCACTGCGAGAAATGCTACGTTTACACGCAGAGCAAGAGCTCCCACAGATCAAAGTCAGTCAGTGACGTTCCCACAGAACCCGCGGTTTGGGTAAGTTACAGCGTTTCCTCCCCCACCGCCCCCCCCACCCCGGGGCACTGGACAGGCAGTGATTGGGACCCAAGCTGGGGGTTGGGATCAGGAAGGCAGGGAGGGTGGACTGGGTGGGGGGCACAGGGAGGGTGGGGGGCCAGGGAGGGTGGGGGTAGGAGGGTGACCAGAGGTCCGGTCGAAGTGGAGATTCTCAAGACGTGCCTTGAAGGAGGCCACGAGGCAAAGTGGCTGTGGGAGGGAGTCCCGGAGGGTTGGGGGCAAACATAGTCTTTGATTGAAGGCGCTGTGCAATTTGACCAAATAAAACGTCGTTTTCACAGAGTCCCGCAGCTCAGTGCCATCGCGATTACAGCGCCTCGAGCACTCATGGGCTATCGGAGAGAAACAGCAACGAGCACTTTGGGTCGGAGTTGAGGAGTGGAAAGGGCGTCAGTGGCCACCTCCAGCCTGCACACGGTCACCCCTCGCCCTCAGCCCGTCCCAACACAGAGCCAGAGAGAATGCTCTGCAGGAGAAGGGGTTGCGAGCACTTTGGCAACACAAAGTGCGATGGATACTGTAACGCTTGCTTCACCGCCTCTCGGATACACAGGATGTAGACCATCACCTATGGGGGGGGGGGTTACAATGTCCACCAACACCAGAGGCAACGTCAACACCACCACCTTGTATTTATACAGCGCACTTCACACAGGGTAGCCTCCCGGAGAGCTTGGACCTCTTTGTTTCCCCTGAAAATTGATCCGCAGGAGCCACCAGCCACAGTAGAAGGCATGTTCCTCCGTCAGAGAGAGAGTCGGGGAGGGATATGGAGGATAACCAACCTTCATAGATTTACCAGCAAGATTTACTCGTATAAGAAAGCAGTTTATCTTTTAAACAATCTGCTGGTTACAAGAATCTCTGCTCATCTTTTCCCCAAGGAAACCTCACAGCTTCCTGTTGTGTGCAGCCAGGAGATAAACCGACCAAAGCCTTAATGGGGGTGGGGAGAGGGGGATAGGCCCGGGTGGGGAGGAGAGGCAGGGCAGGTGGGGAGGGGGGAGGGGAGAGCACAGGTGACCACCAAAAGTTCAAGTCTCTTTTCAAAATCTAGTCCAAAAACCCCACAGTGACGGGTTAGAGAGACTTTTAAAGACATCAAATAGTTGATGAAAGAAAGTGAACAGAGGGAATACACCAATATTGCCGGACTCAATAGTTATTATTATTATTATTATTATTAATTGTATTATTGCAAGACTCCATTCCATTCCAATTATTTCCCAAACTCACTCAGTTGCCTTTGATTATCAAATCACCAACCGGCATTTACATACCACCGTTTGCGTGCGGTCACATATGTTTCCGGGCAACACATCACTGAGCTTCCTCACTCTATCTGCACATAGCAGTGCAGTTAGTTCATTGTTAGACAACATTTTTGCAAATTGAGATGTACCTTAGTTTGTCTTGGAGTCTTGGAACATTACATCATAGTCCAGGCTTCAAACGACAGCCAGACACGGAAGGAAAGAAAGAGAGAGACACACACACACACACACACACACAAGAACTCTAGGTAAACCTGTCTGCCCAGAATCCATTTGAACCCAGATTTCACAGGTGACATTGCAATGTGCAGCTTATATCCTGTTAAGCATCAATGACTTAGTTGAACCAGTTTTATCCGGAGGACAGATCCCGTATGTAAAATGCATCATTTCTCAAGTTTCAGATAATTCACACGATTTGTCAAGAAAATCTCAAGTCTTTGCCAGAAAATAGCTTTCAAAGTGGTTTTCTTTTAAATTACAAAATGTTTTGGTGACTAGAGCATCAGAGAAAAGCACTATCAATACAAATCTGTTCCATACGTTTTGCCCACAAAATATACTGTCACTTTACAGTATATTCTGTGAGGCGCTTTGAGACGTCTCAAAGACATGATAAGGTGCTGTATCAAATGCAAGGATTATTATTATATATATATATATATATCAAATGTGAGTCAATTCTGAAATAGTCTGCAGGGACAAACCATTCTGCAGAAGTCAGGAGTGCGGAGGAGTGGATACATTAGAATACATTAGAATATACAGCACAGAAACAGGCCATTCGGCCCAACTGGTCTGTGCCGGTGTTTATGCTCCACATGAGCCCCTCCTGCCCTTCCTCAACTAAGCCTTCAAGCATAACCTTCTATTCCTTTCTCCCTCATGTAGCTCTCCAGCTTTCCCTTAAATACATCTGTGTTAATTTCCTCCACAACTCCTTGTGGCAGCATGTTCCACATTCCCACTACTCTCTGTGTGAAGATATTTCTTCTAACTTCCCTATTTGATCTATTTGTCACTATTTTATATTGATGGCTCCTGGTTTTGGTCTCCCCCACAAGTGGAAACATATTCCCTATGTCTACCCTATCAAAACCTTGATGGAAGTGTTCAGTTCCCAAACCTGTCGTTAAGTACAGGATACAACATATTACCTGTTCCTGTGATAATCATAATTACCAACACTCACACACACATTTACATGAAACACACACAAACCTTCCTCTTTCATTGATGTTTGTGTTATGTTGTTTATGTTATTTTTTAAGCCTGGACAAAATGTTTTGCAATATTGCAAGGAAGTTTAATCAATAAAACCCACGATGTCAAGGTGGTTATACACTCCGCATGTATGAAAAATATCTACCCGTAGCTTTTTCTGTTGAGTGACCAGTTGTTTAAACACTGTTGCAAATGAATTTCTGAGACAACAAAAGTATATCCAAATATACTTTTAGCGAATACTAAGTTAAAAAAGTCTTAAAAAGCAAATGTGAAACTGTTCTAAATATATTTAGTGTTAATTTACTTATTTACTCGCATTTCCTTTGTTTCGTGTACAGGTCCTTTCACAGGCATATATATTAAAAAACATATTCCATAGTATATTGCAGTTATACAAAATAAAAACGTGCTGTACGTACACGGTTTGATGCCTTATAATTATTTTGTTCTGTAAAGCTCGCTATGAAAATGTCTAACCCTACAAGCCAAAGCCCTAATGGGTAGGGTGGTCCAAGCTGGACAGGCAGTGGGAAAACTTGCCAGACATTGCTCTCAATGGCACGGCTATGGCGGTTTTAGTTGGTTAAACTCCAGCAGTTACCCCAACGCAAACTCTGGGCTCGCCTCCCCCACCACTCCCAAAGCCTCGATTCTTACCGACCTGCGCCTAATACTTTCCGGAATTAGGTAAGCAGGATGCTTCCCTCCAGGGGGAGAGAGAGCGCATTCCATTCCAACAATCTTTCTCTGGAATTGCTATGTGTAGGTGGGAGGCCTGGAATTCTCAGCTTGGTTTGGAGACTCTTTAGCAACGGCGATGGGTTTCCAATATTTTTTTAAAAAAAGGATTTTAGAGCACATCAAAAAAAACACTGGAGTGAAGCAATCTGTGTCTGTGCAGGAGCCAAGCCTCGGTGGGTCAAGTAGCGTGTTTGCATTGCATTCCTTTCTCATTTTTCTTCCTGTAAGTATTTTGATTGATTCTCAACATGGAGCTGTTTGTTAGCCCTCACTTTCCTGGCTCCTTCTACTCAACTCTCCGCACTCACTCCCCCCACCCCCAACTCATTGTGGACTCCAGCCCACCGACTGTCTCCTGGTGAAAGTCCAGGAATGGAGCAAAAACTTCATCCCCTCATCAGCGTTCAGACCTGGCTTTGTTTTCTTCATGTGCCAAATACTCTTCCCTCCATTCCTTCCCAATTGGTCACTCAACCCACGAATGTTAGTGGGACGTCGCTGGTGGCCAATTGGCTGTCGCGTTTCACCCACAAAATATACAGTCACTACACTTTACGGTATATTCTATGATAAGAGGAGACACTGTGTAGGCAATGTAAGCGATTTACTGACTTTCATTTACTAATTGGTTAAAATTTAAATCGACTGTGTCAGGGTTTGAATTATTTTTAAGGCATTTGGTCTTTGCCTGGACATGAGAGCTCAATTTCCGCCCAAATTTCCATTCCTAGCGATGACACTATGTAGTGACTGTATTTTACAGTTGAATATTGACTTTACCCATATTGAATACTAGGCGTATCCCCATCAACTATGAATATCAGATCAACTTATCTTGAACATTTTTTTTTCCATTGCCACACACCACATCCTCATCACATCTCACTTCTGTTTCTTTACCACAATGAGATGATAATGTGCTGGGTCAATGCTAATGCACAGAGCCCAGTATTGCCAGAGCCAAGCCTTCAGCGATGACAGTAAAAATCGTCACGAAGAATTACAATTTTCAGAAGCGAAATCATAATTTGTTGCTAAAACAAATGCAGATCATTAAACTTCACCGTCTACACCTGAAAAGGAGAAATATTAAGTGAACCTAAAATAATCTCTGGAGTTTTGAGAGCGTGGCTTTTGCTCCTAGAGGACGTCTCAAAGCGTTTCTCAGGAGTTACTGCATGTAAAGTGAGTGGAGTTACTGTAGGTTTTGTTTGGTGAACGCAGCAGTCAATGTGAGCACAGTGAGTGCCACAAACAGCCAGGAAGTGGATGGGCATTTTTATCTGGAGGATTGTTGGCCAAGATACCAGGAGGATCACCCTTCACTTTCAATTAGCCCCCATAGGATCTTTAACATTCATCTGAACAGGCAAACGGGACCTGTTTAATACCTCATCTGAAGGATGGCACCTCCGACAATGCAATGCTCCCCCCAGCACTGAACTGGAGTGTCAGCCTGGACTGGGAGCTCAAAATCTAGACGGAGGATTTGAACCCACAGCCTTCTGACACAGAGGTCAGAGCGCAAGGCAACCAAAGCCAGACTAATACTTAGAAGGGAGGAGAGTGGGATGACATTATCAGTGGGCAGCTCATGTGGAGAAAGCACAGGGCAGAGCAGGCTAGAGGGGCCAATGGCTTCTGTCCTTCACATTCTGACACGTTGGTGAGGAAGGCATCAGGGAACTGTCTTTTTACTTTGGGACAGGAGATTTCAGCCATTTCCTATTTGCTAGAGAAAACAATAGAATCTTTCTGCCTGTAAAAATGTACAAGATCTCAGAATGTACTGCGTGGTCCTCAAACAGAATGTGAGCTGTTCACAAACTTCCAAAAAGCATTGTGATTTTCCATCGAAATCTGTCGACAAGAATTGAACTGGTAATAGCGTCTCCCCCCGCCCAGAGGAGACATAGTGCAGCAACACTGTCCATTCAAACCAATTGTTTCGCTTTGACTGGGTGAGCAGGGAATTTCCTCACAGCCACGATGAAAGGCATTGGTTAAGGTGAAACCTTTCATTGAATGAGTCTTTATTTCCATAGCGTCTCAGGGAATGGTCAGCGGTAACCACAAGTGACACATGTCCCGCGTCCACACCTCCTTCCCGGCAACGGAATCCCTGATGCAGACCCAAACCTGACATCAGGGGACACATTGCTGAGCGAGTGGAACACAAATATCATTGGACACAGATGACATATTGGGGAATCCAGAACAAGGGGGCATAATAATACTAATAATAACTTGGTCACTCAATCCACGACTGTTTGTGGGAACCTGCTGTGCATAATTAGCTGCCACGTTTCGCCCACACAAATNAAAAAAAATAATCCTTGCGTTTGATATAGCTCTAAACACTGAGCTACAGGACACCACAATATACTGTCAATTCACTTTACATTATATTCTGCTTTGAGACATCTCGAACACCCGATGAGGCTTGATATCAAATGCAAGGATTATTATTGTTATAATTAGAGCTAGGCAATTTGGGAGTAAAGTCAGGAGGCATTTTTTCATGCAAACGGGAGTAGAATTCTCTCTCCTCCCCCAAAAGGCTGTGGATTATGGCTGGATCCATTCACATTTTTAAGACTGAGGTAGATAGATTTTTGTTGGGTCAGGGTGTCAAGGGATATGGGGCAAAGGTGGGTAATTGAAGTTGAGGTACACGTCAGCTATGGTCTAGTAGAATGATGCAAGAGGATTGATGGGCTGAATGGCCTCCTCCTTTTCCTACATAAATATGACTAACCTCGGGACCTCAGGCTCACGTGCAGTTTCCAGCTCTCATCAACACGACCACTTATTGAGATCAACTGCACGCACAGGTCTGAATCTGTACCAGCTTCTCCTGCCGGCCTCAGATTATCTGGTAATGAGAACCCACATTCAATCTTGTGTGAATTCCAAGTTTACCTGCTCATCTTGTTTTCATCTCACTGTCTGTGAAGTTTGTGGTCAGGGCAAGAGGAAGAATGTTTGTACTGGAATTTAGGGTAACGGTTGAACGCAGATCACAATACAAGACAGGTTGGAAATTTGTTTGCTATTTTATTAACAGTAAAGAAATATATATGTGTCATTGCACTAGTAATATTTTTTTCCTAAAAAAAACTTTTGAAATCAGAGTTCAATACCCTTAAGTGATTACGTTCCTAATTAATAAGGCCATGACCCCACATCCAATGGCCCAGCTAGGCTGAGATTTAAAATGCAATATCAAACGTACAATGTGTAGCATATTCTTACTTCTTTGAATTCACACTGCAGGTAAAACATTCTTAATGATGGCAGTACAGATTTTATACTTATGCAACAAGTGAAATCAGCCTAACCCCAGACTGACCCCCAACAGAATCAACCCCTCATACAACCCGCAGGGAGAATAAAGCCATTCCTAAATACCTTGACGTGTTTATATAGAGAAACATTACCAATTGTTTATACATATATTATATATATCTGTATATAGTAGTCAGATCACAAGGGAGAGTTTTGGGTTTGAAAGCCAAAGGACTACGGTTTGTGTGTTCAGAGAAATGTTCCCTGAGTGAAGATAATTTATCCAAGTCCTTTGACAAAGTGGTGTCAGTCTCCGCACTCCCTCTCACAATGACACCCAAGTGTGTAAGTCTAGGCACTGGGTTTCTCCCTGCAGATTCCTCTATGAGAGTTCGATTCACACGTTCAGATTACTCACCTCACCCACCAGCTTACTTCAAAAATTTAATCTAAGGTTATAACTGCAATTGTATTCCTTGACCATTCCCCGGAAACAAAACAAAATAAAAAAAAAATCAGATCACCTGCAACATCAACATGGTAATACACACCAGTGAACCCTTTCCTATGTGGCTAATTACAATGGGATCATCTTAGGAAAAAGGCTGATTGTGGGGAGCAATAGTGAGTTTTATTGTGCGTCTGTGTGTGTGTGTATGTGTGCGCGTATGCGTGTGTTTGTCTGTGTGTGTGGGGGAAGAGGGAAACTTTTTTTTAAAAAAGGCTAAACTTGTAAATGATGAATTATGTTAGTGAAAGAATAGCCAAGGTTTAGGTATGTGGGTAACCCAAGTCCTGACAGTGACCTGTCGTTTAGCAGAGTTGGTGGAATGTTAATATTTTTGTTATTAATATGGACCTGGGATTTAGTGACATAGAGAGGGAGTTAGGGGTTAATTGCACCCTGAGAAATTGTGGAATAAAATCTCAAGTCAGATCCATAGTGAAGTGAACAAACTCAAACTCATCTCTTTCCCCAACTCAAAGTGACACTTGGCCTGTAAACAGATTGGAAACATTATAGAGTACATTCATTTGGCGTTTGAGAGATTTGACATTGCTCCACTGCCCCCACCAACGCAAAAACCGTGACAGAAGTCAGAATGACGTTTTAAATATGTGCCTCAGTTAAATATTACCTTTCGTAATAGCTTCATAAGTGCTCTCGTTTGGGCAGAGCAGATGACAGACCCCACTTTGTGAAAAAGCAGCCCCTCCTGATAGATTTCTCAACCATGGACCATCAGACTCACTCAAGAGCTGAAACAAATCCTTCCTGAAGCCACTAAATTGGCTTCCCCTGGCCACCCAACTGAGGCCAATGTTTCATTAGATTAATATCTTAAAGTTGCAAGGGCCGACCAGCCTTTTTGTCTCATCCCTACACTGAAAATTTAATTCAAACGCTGGGCAAGGTTTTACCCTGATGACAAGGACAAGAAGGGGTGTAAAAACATGGTAAACAGTTGCTTGCAGCTGGTTTGTTGTCTAATCAATCGGAGGAAGGAGAGGACAGGAATTAGTGGAGAATCCAAAACACCATCTACATTTAAAGCCTGAAATAAACAAAAGTTGTCGTCTCGATCCCAACAGTTTTTTTTCCGAAAAAAAATCTGGTTTAGCCAGAGACTGGTTATTGCAGTCGTTTAAATAAGAGTTTCAAAAACACAGACGGCAAAAGTAACAATAATCTTCTATGCAGCCATTTGCATACAGATGAGAACTCAAGAAACTAGCCTGGGGGCGGGTTTGAATCACATAGGAAGGTATTTGGTCAATTATTGATTGGTTTATGTTCAAGAAGCTGTGGAATGGTTTAAAGCAAAAACCCAATATCCTCCTGGTCCATTCAAATGTACCTTAAAAAACAATTCACTTCTCCCACTCCCACCTCCCCACCCAGGAGGATACCTTGGCAATGAATAATGTCCCCATCACCTCACCCTCCCCAGTGAGACACAATCAAGGCTTAGATGTCTTGTGTAGAATGTGATAGGAACAAGTCTCGAAAGGAATAAGTCTCTTTTTGGAATGGAGGGCGAGGAAGGCCGGATGAAATCAGCCATCGTGCCGGATGTGGCCCTCGGGCCGCCAGTTAGACCACCCTGGCCTAGAGCGGCCAGGACTCAAGCCCACCCACCGCACACAATTATTACATTCAAATCAGTCTCACACCTGGAGGCAGCTCCAGACTTGCCCCATTCTCTCAACACTTCAGAGTCGGCAAAAAAATCCAGCAAATCCCTCAGTGAGGCCTTCCTTAATTTTGACACTGTTTTCCTGTGGAAGGATCTCTTACGAATCAGAAATGAGGCCGCAGTTGAGAGGATTCTTTACCAAATTCCCCTGACTCTGAAACACTAGGAGATAATAGCATTGCCCTGGACCGAGTGGAACTGCGTCCCCTTGAGCTGGAACAGCTCACTTTGGGAGAGAAAACCCACTATCGACGTAAAAGAAAGACTTAAAGTGGTCCATTGTGATCTCCTGCCACCGACCCATCCCCAAATGTGGGTCAGTGAGTGACAAAGCATCATGGATTACAGCTGTGGCTTTATCTATTGACACCATCCTGCTCTCCCTGGTTCAGGGAAGACAACTGGGAAGACATCAGAGTCCTGCAGCTAAGAAAAGGAAGAGAGAAAGAAAAAAGGCAACTACTTGTTGAGACGTAGTCACAACATTTGTTGTGGCACATATGGAATTCATCTTACTTTCACAAGATAAAAGTTATTGCAATTTACTTTGCAACACAACTCATTCTCTCCTAAATCCCGTAACTCTAAGCAACTGGAAGATTCAATTCTTATTGAAGTTTTGCCCCGGGGAAACTTTGCTCTATTCAGTCCTCTTTTCAGTTTCCTCAACATATTTTTTTCTTTTAAAAAAAATCTTCAGCTAGGCATTATAATTTAATGGAGAATAAATTTCTATTAAGTGACCGCTGGTTTTCGATTCACAGATAAAGTATTCCCAATCCCATTTTTTTAATATATATATATATGTATATATATACAATATAAGTGTGCTTCCTACAATTCTCTTTTCAACTTAAAATAATTCATTTGGACAAGGCAAATTTCAGTACTTTCATAGTCTCAAACCCCTTTACGCAATAAATTCCATTGCAGTCTCACTCTCTCTCCGTCACTATCCATTAGAGTCGCACAACTCAGTTCATACGGGCTAAATGGAAACAATAACTCGCTCCCAATGGCTTTGTCTCAAGTCCTTTAACCAAAATGAACTGGATATGATAAGATACTAGAATAAGCAGCAGTAGCTTCTCCTCGCCATCTTGTACCTTAGGTACAAAGTCAAGGTGTAGCGTTGCAGCAAAGTGGTAGGCTTGATTTCGGTCTGGGTTTTTTTTGCATGGATATCAACTCTATTATTTATCAGCAATAAGGCTTTTTTTTCTTTGAAGAAACACAATGTTGTTGGTCTCTTCCTCAACTCCAATGGCTCCGCCACCAGGTGTGTGGTTTATTAAGAGGCAAAAACGTCGGATGTTCAGCTGAACAGGAACCCGAGTGATGAAGCTGAACCCTCTGATCGCCTTCACACACAGACAGCTGCCCAATTCCTGTCTCCGGTTTCTCTGCGTTATGAGAACGAAAAGCATTAGTTCATAGAAAGACGACAATAGGGTCATTCACAAGATCAGAAGAGTTCGCTGGCGAAAGAAAACCGAGGTCCGTCCAGTTCACCTTCCACCATCCTGGCAGTCGCTTGACGTGTCATGTCCCAAACTCTAATAATAATAATCCCTACATCTGACCCGGCGGCGCCTTATCACGTCTTCGAGACGCCTCAAAGCTCTTCACAGGATACACCGTAAAGCGCAGTGACTGTGCAGTTTGTGGGTGAAATCATTTTCCTTACGTAGGGAACTGCAAAAGAAAATACCACTTTGCTTAAGGAGTCTCTGAACCTCATCATTCCTTGCTACTGCGGGTTCTGAAAGGTTAGATAATAATTTAAGTGGATAATTTAGTTTAGATGGTCTCTATGGCAACTGGTTTTACAACAGCTCATGTGCACTGATCCTAAGCAGTGATAGCAGTAAATCAGGCTTTATTGCTGCCCTTGCTTTTAAACGGCCCTTTTTTTAAAAAAAATCATCCCACCAGGGAACTGGGCAATTGAACCATTTTAAAATAACGCAGATGTTTTATTCTCTGAAGCAACTCGCCACGGCAAAGGGTTTCAAGTCAACTAATAAAGGCCGTTCCTCAACAGTTTGAAACAGTGAAGCTCTGCACCAAGTCACAGCTGAATATTGTACTGTTGACATTTTCTACTTTGGAGAAGGGGGAAAAGACATCCAGAGAACAAAGCCCTGACGGTGTTCAGCATCGCACTGTCTCAGCGGGCTCAGAACTCTCAGAATGGCCACGAGATGGCACCACAGCCATAGAGGAATTCCCTGTCCTTCCTCCAATAATAATCCTGGCATTTGACCCGGTGGCTTATCACGTCTTCGAGACGTCTCGAAGTGTTTCACGGGATGCACTGTAAAGGGAACTGACTGCGTATTTTGTGGGCGAAATGCGGCTGCCAATTGTGAACAACGACGTCCCCACAAAAGGTCGTGAATTGAGTGACCCAATTATTTTTGAAGGGATTATTACTTCCGGAAATAAACGATCCTCCCATCGACTAACAACCAGGTTCCTACTTACTGCTGGTAAACAGAGGTGTGTGTGTGTGTGTGTGGAGTAAGGAAACTTGCCTATGGTTTCGCCCTGACCTGCTCGGGAATCAAACCCAGGTGGTCCTATCATTTGTGAGGCGAGGGCTCTAACCAATACACTTGAGCGTTGAACCCTTCCGGAAATAGCCCAATTGACAGAGAGCAGTGGGGGTACCACAGCATCACAGATTGGCATCTGCCAGTCTTACAGATAAATAACCCCGCCCCGAAGCATACACTGTAAACAGTTCATCTGTTGCAGATGATTCAGCACCTGCTGAACAGGGCATTGTGGATCATTACCTACTTATGGTCTTCCCAGGGCCAAGATTTCAACCAGGGATCTCTCTCTGTCTCTCTTTTGTGCTGAGCCACTATTCCCAATGTAGGCTGCGGGGAGGGAAGAGGGTTGGGGGAGAGGGGACAGGAGCTGGAAGAACTCTTACGCTGGTCATTTCGAACGGGGGGAGGAGGGAGGGAGGGAGAGACAGAGAGAGGTAGGCACTGGGAGGCAGTAAAGCAGGTTTGCTGGCTGCATTTGCCCATCAGGAAACACACCTTGTGACTCTGACTAATCATTTGCACAAGTCACAAAAAAGCAGTGGCCATGGTTACTGAACTCCAGTAACCTCACATTTTTTTAATACAGAAAATTGTTAAAAAAATAAATTGTTAAAGGTATGAGCGAAGTGTGAAAAGGATAATTTCCACACGGAGACATCTGGCTGCGTGATATTGCGCTCCCTCTCCACAAAATTATCACCATTTAAAAAGGCCACAGAATTACTGAAAACGCTGGAGGTAATAGTGATCATTTTTTTTTAAAAATCACTGCATTTGGTATCGCGCCTCTCACATCAGGAGAACGTCTCAAAACACTTTGCAGGAAATTGCTGTGAAACACTGGAGTGACCGGATTTCATAGGCAAACAGGACTGATTTCATTGCAGTTTTGTGACTATTAAGTGTTAAGAGTTCTGGCCAAGAGATTGACATCAATCCTGGATCTCATCTGTAATGTGAAGGCCATTTCCTACTTCACAGAGGGAGGGGGGGTGGGGGTTGTCTCAAATGTCAGGAGAGTCAGTGAGTCATTTATATTGATCAGAAAGTGACAAAAAAAACAGAGACCCAGGTCAGGAGAGAGTTTTTTTTTAAAAAGGTAGAGGGTTATTAGGGCCAATGGAAAGCCCTAGCAAACATCAATGGTAATACTCGAACCCCTAATGGAGCTTAACCAGGAATTAATAATAATGATTAAAATAATAATAATCCTTGCATTTGATACAGAGCCTTGTCATGTCATTCAGACGTCTCAAAGCACTTCACAGAACATACTGTAAAGTGGATTGACTGTATTTTGTGAGCCAAACGTGGCAGCCAATTGCACACAGCAGTGAGTGTCCCACAAACAGTTGTGGATCGAGTGACCAAATTATTATTATTATTTTTGAAGGGATTATCACTCCCAGAAAGAGATCCACTAATCAACAAATGACCGGGTTCTTATTTAATGCTAGTTAAACAGTAAACAGGTTTCGCCCCGTCCGGGAATCGAACCCGGGTCCTCTCGCTTGCGAGGCGAGTGTGTTAGACCAACACGCTACAGGATTCTAGTCAGCAAATATTTGAAAAGGATAAATATACAGAAAGAATTAAAAATACAGGAACGTTAACAGACTTTTACACGGAGCAAAACAAATACGTACCTTTTAAAACATGAGAGACTCCACCCCTACTGTTGCCTCGTCTGTCCTGCGGTTTGCTGCTCGGGCGATTTCTCAGCTTCCCCGTTCAAATCCGCCGTCGAGTTCCTCGTTGACCTGGTTTGGTCTCGACCGAGAGAAGCATCAGTTACATCCTTGGCATCGCTCGCCCTTCGAGCCGCCTGAGCGGCCGTTTCCTGCAAAGTTCCGGTTCCCTCGGTCGATGTGGACGGTGGCCGCTGAGGGTTCAGCAGAAACGCGGGCTTTTTGGCCACCGGTGGCGGAACCTTTCCCGGTTTCCTCGCGGCCTCAGGAGCAGCTTTGCTTCTCTGCTGCTTCCCGGAGGATCTGGACTCGACCTTAGAAATGATTCGCTCCGAAACCGAGTTCAACTCCGCCATCAAATTTCTCTGGACCTGGGCTTCTGCCTCAGGGGATTTGGGGACATCGAAGAACAACTTTTTGTGGCTTGTGTTCTTGGAGAAGATGAAGCTGGCCATGGAAGCCGGGGATTTGAGGGCGGCTCCGTCCTCGGGCGGCTTGAGGGAGTGGTGTCCCTGGCCCTCGCTCGGCTGGGCGGTCGGGCTCTTCCCATCCACAGAGCCATGCTGCGACGGAGAGGGCGAGGGAGGGTTCAAATCGGATGAAGACAAGCGGAGGCTCAAGGACTTGCGCACTGGCTTACTGGGCGCAGTTTGGCTGCTCCTGTTGGGGGGTTGAGTCTTGCTGGGTTGGGGTTTGGTTTCCAGGACCCCGGTTGGGAAGGCTCCCATCTGCACCGAGCGTAAGCGCACCATCTGTAGTAGGGAGGGGGTGACGATTGGGATACTCGCTTGACCCCCGACCTCCTCATTACTTGACGGTTGAGCAGCAATCAATTGGGATTTGGAATCCTGACCGTAGGCCTTTGGCGTTTGGTTGGCTGTTTTGTGAAGCTGGGCGGCTGGCACGGGGGATTGCTGTGAGGGGTCAGCGGAGGGTCCTGAGACAGCGGAAGGCTTCTGCTGAGGAGGGTCTGCAGGAGACGCAATAGGGGCCGAGGTGGGTGTAGGCACTTTTAATGACAGGGTTTCTGTCGATCGCTGAGCTGACACGATCTCCGTGGCCACAGATTGTCTGGATGGTTTGTTCTCCACAGGGGAGGCTGAAGGTGCCGGGCAGATGGAAGGCTCCGGCTGTGACTTCTCTGGAGGTTTGGAAGAAGCTGTTTTTTCTGGTGTCTTGTCGGCAAATACTGGGGGTGGAGGAGGTGGGAACAGAAAGTCTGTATCTTCCACCTGAGCACCGGTCTTTCCTGAACTCACCGCCACAGCCGCAGGCAAGCTGGATGCTCCCGGTGATGGTGACAAAACCATTGGAGACATTGGAGGGGGAGGTGCTGGCCAGTCTACTGTAGACTTCTCTGGCTTTACGGGCTGCAGATGATTTGAAGACGAGGAAGACTTTACCCCATTTACTGGCGTCTTCTTGACCGGCGGTGGTGGGTGGTGGGATGGAGGGGGTGAGGGTGGAGGAGAAGATCTCTTCACTTGTGGTGATGATGGTTCCTGCTGTACTGGTTTGGGAGGAGCAGATGTGGCCACAGGAATAACAGTGACCACTGGGGCAACAGGGGAGGTGACCACTGGGGCAACAGGGGAGGTGACCACTGGGGCAACAGGGGAGGTGACCACTGGGGCAACAGGGGAGGTGACCACTGGGGCAACAGGGGAGGTGACCACTGGGGCAACAGGGGAGGTGACCACTGGGGCAACAGGGGAGGTGACCACTGGGGCAACAGGAACAGTAGTGACCACTGGGGCGACAGGAACAGTAGTGACCACTGGGGCGACAGGAACAGAAGTGACCACTGGGGCGACAGGAACAGAAGTGACCACTGGGGCGACAGGAACAGAAGTGACCACTGGGGCGACAGGAACAGTAGTGACCACTGGGGCGACAGAAACAGTAGTGACCACTGGGGCGACAGGAGCAATAGAGGCAACTGTGACCCCGGGCGCAACAGGTGCAGTGTTGACCAGAGGAGCAGTGACCAGGGGGGCCGTGATGCCCATGGGGGCAGAAGCCCGTGGAATGACCCGCCCCCGGGCTGCAGGTGGGGGAGGTGCCGGCCCCTGTGGAGGGGGAGGGATGATGGGCTGCTGAGGAAACAGTTCAGCCATCAGAAACTTTGACATCTTGATGGGAGGGGGCGCTGGAGCGGGTGCGGAGGGGGGCGGGGGGATAGTAAGAGGATCCACCAGGTCAGGCTGAATGCACTCCGATACGGTGGACGACAGCGACGTCAAAGACGAGGAATTGGACATTTCAGGGGAATAGAGCGAGGAGGACCTCGCGGGGGTCTTCGGTTTGGACCTTCGCTGCCCCCCAGGGGAGGAAGAATACGTGACGAGTTCTCTGGTTAGGGTGGGGGTCCCGCTCTGACTGGAGTAGCCGCTGGAGGGGGACATGGTCCTCTCAAACCTGTCCGGCGAGGTGGGGTTCGATGGAGAACCACGATGATTATTCTGGCCGCTCCCCTCCCTTGCCACCTCTCTGGAACCCCCTGCGCCCTGAGCTGGGGGGCTGGCAGAGCCTCGGAAAGCGGGGGAGTCGGGGGAACGCTCCAATCGGCACCCGACGGTTTCACTGAGCGTCGGCGAAAAGACCTCGTCCTCGCCTGACATGCTGCGGTTGCAGGGGTCTTTCCTTCTGGGGGCCACCGCGGGGGGTGCGGGCCGCCCCGGCTCCAAGCCCAGCTCCTGTTGCTGCGGCTCAGCCGGCTGCGCGGAATTCCCTCGTTTGGGGGGGGCCGGGGGCCTCTTCATTTTCTTGACCGACAAATTCCTGGTGACTGACCGTTCGCTGGTCACACTCTGGGTATCCGACCCGTCGGCCTGGCCACCCGTGCTCCCTGTGGCGGTCCCGGCCAGTCGCTCAGCATGGCCGTTCATCTCGGGCCTGGTGTCGTCGCTCAGGGATGGGGGAGCCGCTGATGTGCGGGGCTGGGGGTTGCGCACGGAGCTGGGAATGTCGAGCTCGGCTTCCGATCTCCCAGTGACGCCCGCCGCACGGCTCTGCGAATCTGTTCGGCTGCCGCGGGACGAGATGGTGGAGCTGTCGGACACGATGGTTTCCGAGGACTCGGAGTGGCTCCAGGTGTCGCTGGAGGCGTAATCCCCGACCCCGTAATTGTGCAGCGAGCGGGCGCAGGCGGGGGAGGCCGGGAACAGGAGGCTCGTGCGACTCAGGGTGCGGAGGGAACTGTGGCTGGCGTGGATCATAACCACGTCCACCGCGGCCGGCAGGATGGCGTTGGGAATGATCTTAGACATGTAGGTGGCCTGGGGGGACATGCACATGACTGGGCTCTGCAGCAGCTCGTTAGGTATGGAGCCTCGGGGAATAGCTAACGACTTTGGTCTGTTGGAGAAATCGATGATTCCCCAGTGTTGCCGGTCGCTTCCTGTTAAAGTGCAGTTAGACTTTGTGCCGACGGAATCCACAGAACGCAACGAGGTCCCCTGTCCGGGCAGCGCAGGCTTACCGGAGCCGCCCTCGCCACCTGTCCTGCCAGCGCAGACAGTGCCAGCACTGTCGTTAACATCTTTGTTGGTGTCCAACAGCGAAGGAGACCTGCCCAGGCCCAGCCCTGCAGCGGGAACAGAAACAAAGGATTAAAGGAAGCGCAAATAAAATGGGAAAACTTGAAGAGCTAATGAGTCAGGTCTATGACCTTTTGTCAGACCCCAACCCAGAGCCACCGGCTGTCTCACACAGGAGTGAGGTCCCTGGGCGTGTACGTACCCAATTCCTTTTGGACGTGCTGTGGAAGTCCCATGATTGTGGTTCTCCTGATTCTCTTCTCTTTCAGCTTTGAACCTGTGTGTGACACTGATCCCCTGGAGGACACTTGAGGTTTGAAGGTGGTGCCTATTTTGATTTTTTGAAACAAAGAAAAAACACCCCAAAAAAAATTAGCAAACTGCCCGCTCGCTTCTTAAAAAAAAGAACCTGTTCCTCAAATCCCCGGCCAATAATAATCCAAACCTGGCACAAGATCAGCGTTTGATGAAGGACTATGATTTGGTTGATTTGAGTGCTTCAACCAATGGCAGATTTTAAGTTGACCCAAACCAAGTAAAAGGGTAATCAAAAAGTTGTGATAAAATAATAATAATGCTGGCATTTGACACAGCGCCTTATCACGTCATCGAGATGTTTCAAAGCACGTCACAGGATATACCGTAAAGTGTAGTGACTGCATATTTTGTGGGCGAAACGCGGCAGCCAATTGCGCACAGCAGCGTCCCCACAAACAGTGGTGGATTGAGTGAGCAATTTATTATTGTTTTTGTGATACCATTACAATGTCTAATACAAGTCTTAAGGAGATGATGCTATATAGAGATTTTTAGAGCAGGGTAGATATCAGGACTTTCTGGTCGACCTGGGTTTTGGAGTTGGAAATGGACATTATTCGGCTTTTACCCGTAGGTGCTGCTGTTGGTCGCGCACACAGCTGGTTCCTCCGCGCTTCATCAGGAGTTGGCGGTGGCAGTGACCTGGTCTTGGCCCAGACTTCATCCCCGTCCACGGGAGGACCTGACCCCTCGTCATCTTGCGACTAAAACCAAGTGAATAAAGAGCCTCAAGAAACATCCATTATATATTTATCTCTATCATCATAATAATCATCATAATAATAATCACCCTTGCATTTGGTACAGCACCTTATCACGTCCTCGAGATGTCTCAACGCTCTTCACACAATATACCGTGAAGTATAGTGACTGTGTATTTTGTGGAGGACACCCAGCAGCCAATTGCGCACAGCAACGTCACACAAACAGTAAGTAATAATTTAGTAATAACATTGAATCCATGTGAAGCTCAAAAATTCAGCCTTAATTTTGAAGTCCGTTTTCCCGAAGGAAACACAGTAAAACCGGCTTCGCCGCTGAAACTGAATTCAACAATTTGCCAAATTCCAAACTGCTGGCGAAATGGAATAAATCTAGACCTGGGCAGAATTTCTCCCCAGAACTGCTCACAAACACAGAGAGAACAGTTAGTTTTGCCAACTCCCATTGGCAGTAGCAGGTTATAATTGATCAGTTTCACGCAGTTTCGTGCACAAAAGTGAACTGTATAACAGCCTCTAGCCCTTTCCTCGCTCATTGTGGAAACAATGTAAGAGCTTACATGTTGACTGCAGTTGCCTGTTGAATCTCTGCCATTGCCCAAGTGCAGCTCTGAATAACCATCCAATTTCGCTGAAAGACAGAGAAGAGAGACAAGAACCCGATGGTAACAGATTTCAGATTCTCACTCGCAGCCTGGTTCAGAAACAATGCCAAATTATAGACAGCACACAAGAAATAAACAAGGAACAACAACAACTCGCATTGCTATGACGCCCTAACTGCACATGGGAAATCCCCGCGTCTATACTGGGAAATCCACTCTCCCTCTGGAGGCGCGCACCCTGCTTACACAATTCCGCAAATTGGCCAAAACAAATCTGCGGAAACACTACTTCGGTAGCGAGCAGTACACATGGAACAGGCTCCCGAGGGAGGGAGGGAGACAGACAGACAGACAGACAGACAGACAGACAGACAGACAGACAGACAGACAGACAGACAGACAGACAGACAGACAGACAGACGATGGAAGCAGAAAGCGTCGATTCTTTCAAGAACAAACTGCAAATTAAAGTGATGTGGATTTTGTGTGTGGGTATTTGCGTGCAAGTGCGTGCGTGCGAGTAGTCGTGCACACGTGCGAAAGCGTGCGAGGGTGTGCGTGTGTATGTGCATGTGAGTGTGTGTACGTGCGCGCGAGAGTCACTGCATTGCCCACTGAGAGAAAAACAATATAGCTTTTTGCAGTTTGTTTCTCTGATCCACATCCAAATCAGTTGCTGCCCGTCAATCTGTTTCCCAGTTACAATAAGGTCCGAACGGAATCCTAGCAAAGGTCAGGGTCAGACACAGCCTCGATCCACAGATCCCAGGTCAGCAAATACTGTACGTCTGGAACAATAACAGCCAGGATTAACTTTCACAAAACCAGCTTGTGTCAGGGCCCGACCGCCCGCAAATCAAACCACATCCAGGTTTAACACCGTGAAGCACAGACCCGGTTTGCAAATCAGAGTCAATGATAAAGTTTCAGCAAAGGCGCTTTTCCAAACGCACAGCTCTGCGGGGGGGAGATTTCCCACGTTACCCTGTGTGAGGGACGCCATAGCATTGCGAGTGGTTGTTGTCTCCTGACATGACCCAGAAACATTTCTCCGAGACTCGCCAACACCTGGCTGGCAAAGGGCTGCAGAGACGGGTCAAAAAAAAAATCCACCGGCCGGCTGACAATTCCCTAAGGCACGCGAGACCAAGCGGTCGTTCAGCTCCCCCACCCACCCCCACCCCCACCCCACACACCGTGTCCTGGCCCCACATTGCCACATGGCTGCTCGTTGCTGTACCTTGCTCCTGTAGGGATTTGAGCCCAAGCTCAGCCTCTTTGTGTAGCTCCTCTATGTGCTGGGGGCGGGTGGTCGGGAGGAAGATGTTCTCCTGTTGGTGTTGATACTGCGATGCCCTGTAGTGCACAGACCATTTTGCCTCGTCCTCCAACTTGGAACCAGCTGCAGAAAACAATGCGTCGATAGGTGTCAGATCTCCAGTCAGACTGGCAACTCTTTCTTTTGCAATATAAATAATAATAATCCCGGCGTTTGATACGTCGCCTCATTATGTCTTCGAGACGTCTCACAGCGCTTCACAGGACACGCTGTCAAGTGAATTGACTGTATATTTTTGAGGGCGAAACACGACAGGCAATCGCTCACAGCAGCATCCCCACAAACAGTCGTGGATTGAAGTGACCAATTTATTATTATTATAACTTTTTTTTGAAGGGTTCATTACCCTCGGAAAGCAATCCACCAATAAAAATGAATATAGTGTGTATGGGCGGGAAGGTGAGGGTTCCAACATTAGCTGTAAAAGATAACTGTAAATTGATGCAAAACTTTGGCTTTGGTTTGCGTCAGTAGTTTCCATTATAGAACATCAACAAACAACATTTGCTTTTGCTGGAGTGTGTGTTATTGTTCTGGACTGTTGTCATCTGTATTTCACATCGGGAGGACGTCCCAGGGCATTGCACTGTATCCCCGGATATTATTTCCTAACAGAAATCTATCTCATTTGTTCTTGAATCGACACTTGCTGCTTCCAGCATCTGTCTGTTTGTTTGTTACCCGAGGGAACCGTTCCTCACGTTTATCACTCGCTCACTGAAGCAGTTTCCACAGACTTGTTCTGAATTTACCCCTTTCGATCGCAGGCCATGTCGTGTCCTCTAGTTCTACTGTTCAGCACCAGATAAAACAGCTCATCCTGGTCTACGTTAGTTATTTAGAGCCTTCAGAACCTCAAAGACGTATTCCTCTCGATCATTACAAAACATCAGCAATTTAACCCCTCAATATGCTGCGGAAATCACATCCGGATAAACATTGAGATTCATAATAACAGACCCACTGCGTAGGGATACATTACATACATTGCATCCCGCAGCTCTACACCTTATTGATCAGTTGTTATTTATAGCTCCTGCCTGTATTACAAGCCACTCTCAAAAGATATGTTGACGTACAAAAGTGATCGTGGACAGATTAGATCCTAGAGAAGACTGTAATTGGACAGAACTGTGGACAGTCCATTACATTTGCTGCTAAAGGCAGTCAATGTCATCACTTTATAAAGAAACGTTCACTGCACACAGATGAGCAGTACACGGCATCTAGTGTCCATCTTAAACCGAAAAGGTGCAGATTTTCACCCACAAGATTCCTTGCTCTGTTTGTCGTATGAAGATATAGGGAGAGTAAGCAGAGAGCAAGAGGGAAAGAGAGCGAGAGGCAGAGAGACACACACACACAAACACACATACAGAAAGGAAACGAGAGAAAGAGATAGTGAGAGAGAGACGCACACGAAAATAGAGAGAAGCACGAACACACACACAGAAAGCAACCAAGAGAAAGAGAGACACAGAGACGGACAGAAAGAAAGAGAGACAGAGGGAAAGAGGCACACACACACACACACACACACACAGAAGGCGAGGGAGAGAGAGAAAAAAAGAGAGAAAGTGAAGCAAATGATAACTCGAGAGTTAAACTGATAAGATTGGCAGCACGTCACAGTCACAGCACTTTAAGTGATCAGCGAAGGGCTCGGTTACAAAAACATCGCAGATCATAGCACTTCACCACTTCGCTGTCGCCCCCACATTTTTAGGAAAGTCAAGTAAAGAATTTCCCACTCACGTTTCTTCTTGAAGAGAGTAAGAAACGCGCCCAGGTTTTTGCTGAGCAGCACCACCATCGCGGGGTGAGATGAGGCGGGAAGGAGGACGGACGCGGGTAAGACAAAAGCAGATCAGCTTCGCACAGAGCGGTGGCCCGCACACTCACAGCTGGCTATCTGACCTTCGTCATGAACTTCAATTGTCACAGCTCCTCCTCGCACTAAAACAGCCGAGATTCAAGAGCCGTTTACCAAGCAGGGAACCATCTGGGAGCACATCCCCACACAAACACCCCCCCGCCCCCACCCACCCACCCACCCACCCCCACCTCCTCCCCTTTCTAGAGTTAGAAACGCTCCGTTCGATCCAAAAATCTTCAGTTCTCAACTGCAGTGGGCTTCCCTCGAGTGGCTCAGGCTCCTCTCACTCACAGGATACTGAGGGCTCCTCGCTCCACCCACACTGCAGAGCTAGAGTCATTCAGGAAGCTAAACCAGAGAACCATCACCTCCCTTCCCTGTGTGTGTGTGTCTCTCTCTCACACACGTAGGGGATTGCAGGCTAGCATTCCTTCCACCTTTCAGGAGGCTTTCTCCAATCAGGGTTTAATGGCTGTGGATTTCAAAGCCCTTTAGGTTTCCGATCCTCAGCCTGAATGACAGCCTATTATTTGGGAGCCCACTAAAGCACCAAGTTCATAAAAAAGAGTAGCATCTGTGACAAAAGAGCCGCCTTTTGTTGGCCTTCCTATTGACAGCTTTTTGTACATCAGGCTCTCTCTCTCTCTGTCTCTCTATCTGACCCTCAGTCTTTGTGCAAAGGCACGCTGTCTCCTCACTGCAGTGAACAATTGACATTTCCATCTCTTTCTAAACCCTCTCTGCACGCCCTGGACTCAGCATGTTCCTCTCTTGCCCACAACAATGGTAACAGCTAATGCAACACTATGAGAGTTTTTTTTTTTTGGGGGGGGGAGACTTGATGCCTTTTATTCAGAGCGTTAAATAAGAGAATGTGCCCCGAGGTTGCCAACTCTCTTGCTCGATTTCAGAGAGAGAAACAATCCTCCAATGAGGAAACCAAAATCTTTTTAACACTTGGGAAAACTTTTAGACTGAGTAACCAACTAACTCAGGTCACAGTAAAGTTGGCTTTGATTTGTTCACTCCCTGAGCACCATAATAATCCTCGCATTTGGTACAGTGTCTTTGAGACGTTTCAAAGCGCTTCGCAGAGGAGAGGTTGGTGGTGGGGGGTTGGCAGGGGGTGTGGGGAGCGAGGGGTGGAGGCAGAAAGAGAGAGGTAACACAGCTCTCATAACAAATCACACCAAGATTACTTGTCAAGGCAGCACTTGTTGTCAAGCCCGAAACCATTTCTACTTCAACAGACTGTTCGTTTGATCCTTGTTCTCACTAATTCTGGCCCTTTCATGTGGTAATTGTTCCGAGCAGGAAAACAAAGAGGGAATCCTTCCAAACTGGAGGATGAATGGGTTTCCGCAGAGCGTAGCCTCCTGTCTGTTTGAACTCCCTCTGACTGATTTGTCCACGGTCACCCCTACCCTACTCAGGGCAAACCCAGTGACCGTTTGAACTTCCTCCATCTGATGTGTCTGTCTCTCCCCCTCCCCACCCCCAGCTATTTGATACACCAACTTATCAAAAGGCTTCACAGAATATGGTGTAAACTGGAGCAACTGTGTATTTTGTGAACAAAACCAAGGAAAACCACAAAACAATTAGAAATGAGTGAAGAACATTTCCTTTCTCTGGGGTGGGATGAATGAAGTGGGGTGGGTGGGGGAGAGGTAGGGAGGGAGCTTCTGTTCTGATAAAGGATGCAAAGTAAGAGCTAATTACCTGTAATAAGCTGAACCGTGGCACAAAGCTCCTGTGTGGAACACGATCAAAGAAACCTGATCAATACCCACACGGCTCAGGGTTTAGCTCCCGAAGTTCACACAACTCACAGCCACTTTAGGCTGTCAGGCTGGAGAGCTGCCGTGATGAAGGGAGATTTCGCCCACAAATATACGGTCAATTCACTTTACAGTCTATTCTGTGAAGCGCTTTGAGATGTCGAGAAGAAGTGAAAAAGCGCTATATCAAATGCAAGGATTATTATTAACGGGAACTCTACACATCAGCCTCGCTCCCAGGCAGGTAACTAACTGTCCCCTTCCTGACCGGCAAAAAATTAATTGTATAAAGTATAATAAATTATTTGATAAATGCCCCATTCCTCATGGTAACTTGTTGATTAATTATTACCAGGGATTTCCCCCACAGCTACACACTTTATTTTTAAGTGATATTTCACCCACAAAACATACAGTCAATGCACTTGACCTGTGAAGCTCTTTGAGACACAACAATGTGATAAGGCGCTATAGCAAATGCAAGGATTATTATTTATTATTAATTATTATTATTATTATGTGAAGGCATGTGAGCCAATGTTTCATATACAAACTCAGCCCCACTAGGATAAACATCAACAACAAATTACATTTGCATGGCGGTGCCTTTCATGTCGGGAGGATGACCCAAGGCGATTATTTACAAATAATAATTTATTTGTAAATTTACAAAGCGCTACCAAGTGATTTTGAAGGTCATCATCTCTCTCTCCCCCCACCCCTACCGCACACCACCCCCACCCTCTGCTCACAGCTCCATGAGTATCAAAGAGGATTAAGATAACAAGATTCATTACTAAAATTATGTGATCAATAAATCCAGGTCTGTTTAAGGAAGGTTAATAATCTGCCTCATCACTGAAGACTGTAACTTCTTATCACCATAGAAATCCACGTCTGTGCCGCTTTTCTGAAAGAGAATCCACTCCCCGGCCTTTTTCCCCATTAGCGCCTGCAGATTGTTCCTCTTTCGCAACTATCCAGTTTCCCCTAATCCCTCCTCTCCCTGCCCTCCATCCCTCCTGATCCCAACCCCCGGCTGAAACGCACTCGGTAGATCTGGTTCCTGAGCCGGACAGGTCCGCAGTATTCCAGGGCACTGTAGATGACAGGAAAGCCCAGCCTGGCTCATCGGCAGGACCTGGAAGGGCAGGACATCACATAACTAACCATCTCCAGCGACTATTTATTTGCCATTCCACACATGATTATTGATCAGAAGCTGGTTTGTTGCTTTTCTGTTAATGGGTGTAATGAATATTCATTACTAACTGCCTGAAGGCAGATCGGACAGGATTGAACATCTGGTCTCAGAGAGTGCAGTCATTTACATTCTTCCAGATTCCACGAAGGGTTTGTTTGAGACCCAGACAGGAACCACAACAAAGTCGGATTTGGCTGCAGTT